TATGTATACATACTTACTTATAACCGATTATATAATGACTAATTAAGACTTCTCCTTATTTTTATTTTATATATATATATATATATATATATATATATATATATATTACTGCAAAGGAATTTGGTGGATACCTGAAACTGAGTAGAATCTCCTTTTTTTTAAACAATATTTATTTCATCTACGGACCTGCGCAATCGAGATCAATTAATAAAGAAAATTTGCTATCGTTTAGGATACAAACCTGCGTTCCCCTTTACGGAAGAAATTGCCGTCCAGTGCTTTGGCCAATCGGCTACAGAGAGTTTGACAATAAAGCAACGTTGTATGTGTCTTAAGGCACTTTCACTCGTTCAGATGTGCCTTCACGTGCGCGTCTGTATGTTTTCCCCTTCTTCTTGTTGTTATACGGAACGTGTACCAACAAAAATAGCCATGGTTTATTTCGTGTTCAGTATGACATTTTGATTCAAAGCTACATTCAGTAAAACTCCTTTTAGGAGGAAGGAATTTACTGGAAATCTTGGCCAAGCTAGCTAGACAAAAGTCGCTTAGATTCTACTATCTAATTATCTATATATGTATAAGATATATCCTTTAAATTTAATGTTTTTCCGCCTGCCTTAGACAGCGTCGTTTTCGGTTATAATTTCATATTGTTATTTTTGCTTTGTATTTACTATATTCTAGTTTTAATTTTTGCTCATCGCCTGCGTTCCGAAATTAGAATAATGGATCGGTCATTAGAAGTATAATTTCCTTTAGATAATGCGATCAGACAATTTCATTACATCCATTTACACGGTGGACGGCATTTACGAAGCGTGTAGCTTTGTATCATTGACACAAAGTATACAGTATTTAGGAAATATTGATTTTCGTTCTCCTTGTCTATTCTGTCTTTCTTTATTCGCTCCTAATGTTATCATCAATTCCTCCTTTATTACATTAGCCAGCATCAGTTTCTTTTAAGTAAAGAGAAGCTTTTCAAGTGAACATCATTATTATCATAACTTTTTTTAAAAAATAGAGTTTGAAATTATCATTGAAGTTTTCATTAACCTTGTCTCTTGATATTTATTAAGTTTTATCTGGCATATGGTTGCATGATTAGGTAGAATGGCTGTATTTCAACGATCTTTCAGAAGATGAATAATCTATAAAATGGATTGTGCTTGTTGCATGTAAGCTCTACTGCGGAGGAGCGCTGTATATTACATGGCCGACCCCTTACCGCTGGGCTCTTCGAGAGAGAAACTTACAGATTAATATGTGTAGGGAGGGGGGAAGGAAAAATAGAAGTTGAAGGGGTAAAGAGGAAGTAAGTAGGCCAGATAAAAATAAGGAAGAACGTGTAGGTGGAAACACACACACTCGCACACACACACAAAGACACAGACACAGACATACTATATATATATATATATATATATATATATATATATATATATATATATATATATGCTATATTTATGGGCAAAATGCTCGATATCATAGATGGACCGTATGTATATATTAAAGTGGGCAGCGAAATAAAAAAAAAATTTATCTATCTCATTCTATTCATATCTATCTATCTATCTATCTGTCTATCTATCTATCTATCTATCTATCTCATTCTATTCATATCTCTATTTATCTATATATATCTCATTCTATTCATATCTCTCTCTATCTCTCTATCTTAGTCCATTGATATGTATGTATGTATGTATGTATGTATGTATGTATGTACGTGCGTATCTATCTATCTATCTATCTATCTATCTCATTCTATTCATATCT